CATTCATGTGCTCTCTGTGGAAGAACTTTCTACATGCTAAAGTCCACACTCTAATAGTATTTGTTTGGGGTCACCAAGATTAACATGAAAGCCCCATAATATTTCAGTGATTTGATGCTGGTTCAGTATATCAGGACAACATGCTAAATTTGAACTTGAGCTAAACTCCCAACTTTCACAGTCTGACCAGTTTAGGGACTGCCCCCGACACCTCCCTCTTACTTAGTCTCCCCAGCATACTGATTATTTGGCTACAGCCTAGAATTGGCCCAGAAGACAAGCAAACATAAATACTCATGGATTCTCTCTGGGGCCATTCTGTGTAAATAGAAAATGTATGTAAGGCATTCTGCCTTTGAGAATCTGCTGAAAGCTATATACATAGGCACATATATTTGCAGACTCTTAGACCCCCTTGACATGCACTTATGGACCTTCCTGCTTTATATATTCTCTGGCTCCTGATCTGGGCCCTTCTTGAAATAGTTTTTTTCTGATTCTAGAGTCTAAGCTAAAGACAATTGGACATCCAGTTCCTGGTTTCCCCCCTGTTTTATTCATCTGGTAGTTTTTGTCCTTGCCCGCTTCCCTACCTCCACACACCCAAGTGCTCCCATCTTGGATCCATAGTTATGTTTCCATTCAGTTTCCCTCCTTTACAATTTTGGCCATTATTTTTTGAGGCTCGTATCACACTGTTCTGGCCTTTTGGTCTCAGTGTCTCTTTTTCCCAATAGTCTCTGAACACTGCATGTCTGGCCCAGCTCAAGGTTCCCAGCATCTCCCACAAATGGACTTTGCCTTATTCTCCCGAAGAGTTTCATTATGGCTTCTCAATATGTATTTGCATTTTGATTATAATTCTCACCGATTTTGGCTTTGGCAAAACAAAAACAAGACCCACACCTCAGGAAGCCATGTTGATATATATTTTTTAAAGTGTTGTTTTGGTTCACCTTCTTTCCTTCCCTTGCTTCCACCATTCAAAAACCCGCCTTTGCCAGGAGTAGCTTTACACTTTTCCACATGTCTTCCATCCCTTAGCTGTGGGCTAAAGCCTGGACCGTTCTGCCAAATTGGCTAAAGAAAAGAGGCCCTAAGATTGAGCCCAGAGATGTAAATGTGGGGAGTTCACAAATAAAACGACCTCACTTTACTCTCTTGAAATATAATTTTAGCTAGATTACTTACATTAATAGCCATCCATTGGGGAAAATTAATGACTATCAATTTACAAAACAGGATTATGAAATTTTGCAAAATAAGCATTAGACAGACAAACTCTTGCCTTAACATGCCTCCTTTACCTAGAAAAACCTTGCACAAAGAAAATAGTGTATTTCTGATAATGAAAACATGGACTTTTTACCTAACCTTTTTTAGGTTCACAGTGGTACATACACAGGGCTTCCCAGAATCACCTGCCAATGCAGGAGATGTGGGTTCGATCCCTGAGTCCAGAAGATCCCCTGGAGTAGGACATGGCAACCCATTCCAGTATTCTTGCCTGGTGAATCCCATAGACAGAGGACCCTGGTGGGCTACAGTCCATGCAGTCACAGAGAGTCGGATACGACTGAGTGAGCACACATGGTGCATATACACTGTGATCCCTTCAAGGGCCGCAGGACCACACTCTAAATCATTTTCTTTAGAACTTATGTTGAGGAACATGATAGTCAAATCTTCCTAGATATCTCCACCACTCTGGTCCTTGGGACATGCACTGATATTTACAGAAGAACTAGCTGCCATTAGAGGATGGAATTTAAAGTTCAATAGTTTATCTAAAAGAATATCAGATCAGGAGATTTAAGAACTCCAGATCTTTTAATCTGAGTAAGTGCCCCACAAAGCTTGTGGGGACCTCAATAGAAGACTAGTGGAGAAAGATATGTAGCTGGCATTAGATAAGATTGTGGGAGGGGAAGACAATTTGGTTTGCCCCTAGAAGGGCCAAGGGGATGGAGTAATGAACCATTCCAAACTAATAGTGCCCAAGGCAGGGTGGCAAATTCAGGGAAATAAGCATTTGTTTATTTGGGATTGGGGTCCACTCTAATGGCCTCATTTTTACTGTGTCCAAATCTATGCGATTCCATGGATGATAGCCCGCCAGGCTCCTCTGTCCTTGGAATTCTCCAGGCCAGAATACTGGAGTGGCGTAGCTGTTCCCTCCTCCAGGGGATCTTTCCAATCAGGGATCGAACTCTGGTTTCTCACATTACAAGCGGATTCTTTACCATTTGAGCCACCAGGGAAGCACTTAATTACCTACTTAAAGGCAATTTCTTTCATAATAAGCATTTGTTCCAGATGATTTCCCTGGCAGTCCAGTGGTTAGGACTCCATGCTTCCATTGCTGGGGTCACAGGTTCGATCTCTGGTCAGGGAACTAAGATCCCATAAATTGCATGACCTAATCAAATTTTTAAAAAAAGATCTAAAAACAGAACAAATATCTGTCCCTGTTGCAAGCTGAACTGTGTCCTCTGCAAAATTCATAAGCTGAATAAGCCCTAACCCACCACCCCGTACCTCAGAATGTGACTGTATTTGGGGAGAGTGCCTTTAGAGAAGTAATAAAGTAAAAATGAGGCCACTAGGGTAGACCCCAATCCCATCTGACCAGTGTTCCTATAAGAAAAGGAAGAGACACACGAGGACACAATGAGAAGGTGGTCAACTGAAAAAGCTAAGGAGAGAAGCCTCAGGAGAGCCAGACCTGCTGACACCTTGATCTTGGACTCTGAGCCTCCAGAACAGTGAGAGAATAAATTTCTGTTGTTTAAGCCACACATATGTGTTATTTTGTTCTGATAGCCCTAGTGAATGAATACCCCCCCTTTTTTTTTTTTACTTCCTAGACTCTAAAGCTCTTTCTAATATTTGGGGGAAGTCCTCATTGATGAGGGCTTCCCTGGTAGCTCAGCTGGTCTACCTGCAATGCAGGAGACCCCAGTTCGATTCCTGGGTTAGGAAGATCCCCTGGAGAAGGGATAGGCTACCCACTCCAGTATTCTGGTCTGGAGAATTCCATGGACAGAAGAGCTACAGTCCATGGGGTCACAAAAAGTCAGACTGAGTACTTTCACTTTCACTCATTGATGAGTATTGGGGGAGGCAGACCCTCTCTAGCGGTAGCAATAATTTCGTCAAGATGGAGTTCAATGTTGAGAGCATTAAGGGGCCAGGCTGCTGTGTCTAGTGCCCATGGAAGACGACTGTAGGAATGTCCTGGGCTGGCTAGCTCTCCCCCAGGGATTCTGTGAGCTACAAAGAACCTATAAATAAGTACTGAATACATTTTCTCCCTTAAATCAGAGGTGATTTCTGTGGCTTATAATTAAGACCACTGACCACTACGATTCAGGTCTACATCTACATCCTGAGAGTACATCAATTGCAAGTGTTCCTAGCTGTCAGGGACATTCAAAGTTGGATGGGTGATGGCCTCAGTGTCCCCAGGATTGAGGCAATTTCTTTTTTTTTGGTTGCACTGCTCCGCATGCAGGACCCTAATTCCCTGACCAGAAATCGAACCCACGCGCCCTACAGTGGAAGCTCAGAATCTGAACCACTGGACTGCCAGGGAAGTCCCCCAGGATTGAGGCAATTTTGAGCAGTGCTCCAACCATCGGAGATGCTTGCAAGAGGAACACTTTTCTCTTTTCTCTTTCCTACTTCCTTTGGTCCTTGTTTGTATTACTACTCATCCTTAGCCCAATGCTTTGGCTAGGTCACTAGACTCCACAGACATCGTTCAGCCCTAGGGCCCTTGGGAGTAAGGAAGCTGTGAGCCCTGCTCAATCTGAGCTGTCTTGGGAGTGAAAGTTGCCTTAGAATGCGTCCCCTTCCGCCCCATCTCAGCCCTGCTTGGACTCAGCCATGAAGACTAGTAAATAAGGATAATACGACATTATTTCTGTGCAAACTTTGATTCTCTATTACTTTGGAACCAACAATTAGCCTGAGACAGCATGGCAGCTCTAGAATCTGTATAAAGGAAGAATATCTGGCTTCCTGGTGGCTCAGACAGTAAAAAGTCTGCCTGCAATGCAGGAGACAAAGATTTGATCCCTGGGTTGGGAAGATTCCCCTAGAGAAGGGAATGGCAACCCACTCCACTATTTTTGCCTGGGAAATTCCATGAACAGAGGAACCTGGTGGGCTACAGTCCCTGGGGTCGCATAGAGTTGGACACAACTGAATGACTAACACATTAAGGCCACAAATAGTTACTAGTGGGAGATGGTGAGGTGGGCCAAGACAGAGGGATACTCTGGCCCTAAGTTTGCTAAGTTTATATAGCAAACACATGGTTTCTATTAAGGTGGTATATGGTTGTGGAGCAAAAATACCAAACATCTTCAAATATGGTCTTATTTACACTTTGTGTGTATGTGCTAAGTTTCTTCAGTTGTGTCTGACGCTGTTTAACCCCATAGACTGTAGCCCGCCAGGCTCCTCTGTCCATCGAATTCTCCAGTCAAGAATACTGGAGTGGGTTGCCACGCCCTCCTCCAGGGGATCCTCCCGACCCAGGGATCGAACTCATGTCTCTGATGTCTCCTGCATTTGGCAGGCGGATTCTCTACCACTGAGCCGCCAAGGAAGCCCTTTTTATACTTTGCCGAATATTTAAAAATATAGGTTGTCCTTATCAAAGAAGGCTTTTCATATTATTATTTGAGAGTAACTTTGACAGACAGATGGATTTAAGGGGGTCTATATAGCTCTCCCAAGCTACTCATTGGTGCCCCCACTGCTGGACAGGAGGCACCTATGGCCCCCAACCTTATGTCAGAAGGCAGTTATTCAGCCCCAAGTTCAATTTTTGCTCTAAGGACTTATGCTATTCCTCAGCCACCTGCCTGGGGCATGACTTCTGGTTGTCTGGCCCCCTACCTGTGCTCATTGGTCTCCCAGGCACAGGATTCAGGGGTTTCATGGCCTAATGCCTTGGGCCTAGAACATACTTTAAGCTGATCATTTTTCAGTGTGACCTCAGGCTTGCCAGACTTCCATACCTCCAACTCTCTTTTCCATATCTTATCAATTCCCTGGCTTTTCCTATTCCACTCCAGCCTGTGGAGTCTGGACATGATGATGAAGTCAGTCCTTTGGCAAGAGCATGCACAATTAAGGGTAATTTTCAGCTTGTTATTTCTCCCTTGGGGGAACTCAATAGGATTATTTGATTGAAAATGTAAAAATACAAAACAAAACTCAAAACCCAAGAGACAAATTGAATTTGTCTGAGGTAGAAGGCTTTCGAGCATTCACCAGTGTGAAAGAACACATTATGCTTAAAATACACCCAATCCCTCATTGGATAGTTGATTTAACTGTGTTTTAACATTTTATTAGGGGGAAAAAAGGTCAGTGGAGCAAAAGTTTCTATAGCAACCTGGCAGCCGCACCTCTTGTAACCTATGAAATCATTAAATTATGAGGTGCAACTAGGTCAGAGAAAGGCCTTATGGGAATTGGCTGACCAATGGTTATATAACTGGAATAAGTGAAGGTTACAGCCCACTCAACAAGGAGGAGACAAGTAGGTATTTACAAATGTCTGAGGCTGTGTCATATGGGCCCTATTGTCAGGAAGGCCTTCAATTCCGAGTGGGGAGTGGAGGTTGGGAGTATATATATTGTGTACATGTCTTCAGAATGAGGTGGAGTTGGGGAGAGTGACTTAAAGAGTGGGAGGACAAAGAAAAAAAGCAGAAAGCCTAAAGCTTAATTCTGAAAAGCCTGGTGCTGCTCAGACTAGGTAATCCCTGCTGGTCTGGTTCCTTGGCAAGAACAGACAGGCCTCCTTTTTTTTTTTTTTTTTTGCAGGGGTGGGGTGGGGGTAGAGATGAATATAAGCCAGATGTACTGGGTTGGCCAAAAAGTTCGTTGGGGTTGGCCAGACATACCGAAACGAACTTTTTGGCCAACCCAATACTTGCCCGTAAAGTGAAGTGTGGGCAAGAAAACACAGGAAGACTAGGATGGTAGGTACCAAAAAAACCAAGAAACAACAACAACAAAAGACCTAGCCCTGGGAACCTGAGAGTTTTCCAAGGTTAAAAGGGCTAAGCTGCCCAGTAGACACGTTCCCTGCAGCCCTCATTTTCCCCATCCCACGATCTACGACAAGAACTGGAAATTTCCATTTATACTTACTCATGTCAGGTAGAAAATTGATGATTAATACAGAGAATGCTGGAAGTGAATACCCACCATTAGTGGCTTTGATCTCAGCGACACCTCTGCAAACCAGATCAACCCACTGTCATTTAAAGTGGGGGAACTGCAGAGCCTTATATAAGGCAGCTATTTTATTTTTGCACCTGCGGATGAGAACGGGGTTTAGCTTAGAGAAATTTGTTTTCAGTCTGGGTCAGATGATGAAGGAGAGAGAGAGAGAGATACATTCTATTTTCTCAGCATCCCGTGGGAGGAATGTCTGTCACCAGATCAGCCAGAGGGGCCGGGGTCTCACCTACCGCGTAAATGCTGAGACGAATTTGGTTGGTTGGGGGCGCTGCTCAGTTCCTGGACCCTGGAAATTGATTCTTTGTCAGCTTCTCTTGTGTCTCAGAACCCACCTCTGCCCGCCCCATCCCCCAACCAGCACACCCAGGCACGTTATTTGTGTCTTTGATCACATTTGTCTGAGAGAAGGTAGGTGTGGGAAGCGGAAGAATGTTTAAGTCTGTGGGAGTGGTGGAAAGACAGGTCAGTTTGGGATAACAGCCAGCATCACAGCACTCATGTGTTGGCTCCAATACTAAAGTCCAGGGCCATTTCCACGTTGCTGAGTGATCTTCAGTCTTCTATGAGTCACAGCTGCAGCTGAGTCATAGGCAGGAGACTGTGCTTTCTGATGATAAGCCTTCTCCTTATCCCCTCCCTATATTGTTCCTCGTTACCCGAGGAAGGGGCTGTGTCTTCTATTATCATTAGACAAATGTCATGATGGCTTTGGAGTCACAGAGACCTGTCATTTACCACCTATAGAAGACTTCCTCTGTCTGAGGCTTAATTTCCCGAGGATTATTGTGAAGTTTAAAATGAGATCAATCATCCAAAGAAATGTTCAGAGTCCCTGTCACACATAAGTACCGAATGAGTGTGAGTCATTATTAAGTCATTCCCCCAAATTATTTTGGAAATATTTTTGGAAATTCCTCTATTATGAACTTGCTTACTGAGAATCCTTTCCTCAGAACCTCATCACCCTGGAGGAAGAGGTAGGGATACAATCTAACTTCTCACTCCTAAAAGCGAAGGACCGACCCTAAACATGTATTGACCACACCAAAGGGCACATACCCCACAAAGCTGTGCATGAAGCAACACATGGGCTCGTCTTTGTGCCTTCCTTGTACATGATAAGGAGTAAATTATGCATTAACTGCCTTCCACTTGTTAGATTTCTGTGAAGGGAGTGGTGCCCCAGATTTCCCCACATTTATGCTGATGGAATGGTTTGTCCAATTCATATGGAAACATGATGCTGTTCCTCACTGTCAGTAGAACTTATCCTTTGGCCACCTGGATGCCCCCTGGGTTCTCTGGACACTTGACATGCCTTATAGGTGTCCCTTGGGTGCCCTGACGACACACTCAACCAATGGAACTGACCAGCACTCAGATTGAAAGTATTAATATTTTGCTAGTTTCTTTCTCTGGAAACAGCACATTCATTAAGATATTTCCTTCTACACTTCTTTATCTTTTTATTGTTTTTTCTTTATGTTTTGCCCCCAGAGAAAGGGAAGTCTACAAGTGAGCTTCTATAAAATGTTGCTTAGTCTTTTCTACAACAGGTGCAGAGACACAATTTCAGGACTGGGTATGCTTTTAATATCCCCCCACTAAAAAAAAATCAGTAAGGACCAATTTCCCACATAGCCTTTCAATCCCAGATGATAACCATGAGAAATCTACAAGCTTCCAGACTCTGGAGAGAGCTTTTTTTGCAGGAACAAATTTGCAGTAATGATTCATCCACACAAAGCCAAAGGCAAGTTCAGTGGGATGTTTTCATTGTTCCAGACACAGTCATCAAAGAACTACTGTATGGGTGCCTCTGAAGCACCCTCATTTGTTCCAAATGTAAAAGGTAGAAGCACATAAATGTCAATGATCAGGCGTGGGCTCCACAGCCTCGTTTGGCAGGCTCATGACACACTCCTGGCCTGTGCCAACCTTCTCCTCTACGTTTCTACACGGCTTGCACTGTCATCCCCTCATCATGACAGACTACAGCCATGGGCAGAAAAGTGCTGCAGTACAACTGAGAAGCCTGTACAGATTTTCCTCTGATCAGCTTGTGGATACTTCTTTGAATCCAGTAATTTACACCTGTTTGTTCTCCTTACTTTGAGGCTAGTAGGAGACAGAGAGAGTGGACTTTTTGTCATAGGGGAGTTATGGAATTATCATGGAATGACATTTATAATTGGACAGGCCCTTAGAAACCATCTAGTCCAATGTCTTTATTTTTCACAAGTGAATCAACTAAGGTCCAGAGAGATTTTTGTCATTTACCCAAGGCCATTACAGCAATTTAGTGGCAGAATCAGAACTAGAATCCAGGACTCTTGCCATCCAGTTCAGTACTCTTTCTGGAACAGCATGTACTTTCCACTGTAATGGCATTTGTTTTACCTTAGACAATAACAGCTAATACTTTTTGACCATTTCCTACGTGCCAGGAATTATGCTAAGTACTTGACTGCATTATTGTATTCAATCCACAAAACAACACTAAGAGGTCGGGACTTATATTTTCCCAACTTTATAAGACAAAGAGATGGAAGTTTTGAAAGGTGAAGTAACTAAGCCAAGGTTACACATCATACCATACAACACTTAATATTTAATTTACTAAACTAACTAATCTACTCCAAGAAGAAAAGTACTCAGACTACAGGGGATATTTACGTTGACCATACTCTACAAGGCAGAATGTCAGAAGTTATTTGTATATTTGTTTGCGTGTATCCTGAGTCTAATTTTCTGCATTAATACTTACAAAACTATTTCTAGGAGGTTCTTCTCCCTTCTGAATGCTTTCATTGATATTCACTACTATGATGAACCTTTGCAAATGTGCACATGTTGGAATGAAGATGGGAAAGTAAAATGGAAGAATTAAAATATTGATTGAATTGGTATCCTGAAATGTTTACAAAAAATGCATCCATTTATTCCATTTGTCTTCTCTAATTATTCATAAATCTCGCATTGAACTTTGGTAGAATAAAGCCAAGTGAATAAAAGTCACTTGAGGTAACGGATCTATCCTCTCTTTGTACCTATCAGGTTTTTCCCCCACAAAATATCTTCATACACACATCCTATCCTTTTCCTCTGCAACTGAGCACTAGGTCCCCTCTGTATCACCCAGATAAACCATAAAGCAATACTTTGAAGCAACTTATTTAATCCCTTATATGAGCAAAAAGTCCGCAAGGGAAACCATGCTGGAATGTACAGGCTATGAGGCCCTGTTTTACTATTTGGTGAATACCTCCTTCAGTTTCCATTCAAATCACCATAACACTGTCCAGACATTCTACTGTTTCTTGGAAATAGAGTTTGAGCTGGCGGATGGAGTTGGTAATCTGTAGAGCTGGACTTTAGTCTCAGTTATCATTTCAAAGGCCTTCCCAGGTGGTGTGGTAAAGAATCTGCCTGCCAGTGCAGGAGGTTTAAGTGACCTGAGTTGGGAAGACTCCCCCTGGAGGAGGGCATGGCAACCCACTCCAATACTCTTGCCTGAAAAGTCCCATGGACAGAGGAGCCTGGTGGGCTATATAGTCCATGGAGTTGCAAAGAGTCAGACACAACTGAGCGACTGAACTGAACCGAACTTAATATTATGTTAGTTTCAGGTGTACAACATGAGGAGTCAATATTTTTTATATTTTTTAAAGTTATTATGAAATAGTGGCTATATTTACCTATGCTGTACAATGTATCCTTATCTTTTATTTATTTTATACATAGTAGTTAATCCCCTACCCTTATCTTGCTCCTCTTCCCTTCCTTCTCCCCACTGGTAACCACTAGTTTTTTCTCTGTATATCTGAATCTATTTCTGTT